AAGTAGAAGAAGAAATAAGATGAGCGAAGAAAAGAAAAATGAAAGGACAGACAGGCAAAGAGACAGACAAACCAGAATGACACAAAACAGTGTCCTCTTAGTCTTTGTTTCACAGTATTATTATTTCCTTCAGCGTTTTACAAAAAAAAATTACACTGAATCAAAGGATAAAAATAAAAAACAAAGACATTGAAATCATTCAGTTTCTCAGTCTTCTTAACGCCTCCTTCACTGTGCCTCTAAAATACAAGACTCGCCACGTTGATGGAGTTGAGCACGAGCTGCCCCCATCCCCGTATGCCATAACAGCCCACTTGCACGCTATGGGAAAGAGGCAGAGTGAAGGAAGAGGTGTTAAACACAAGGAAGAGAGGAGCACAAAAGGAAAACCAATAGGCAGAGGGAGAAAAAACAAAGAATTTTGACACAAACATCTTCTTTCTTTTACTGCATTCTGCTTTCTTTTACTGCATTCTTCTTTCTTTCACAGTTTTGCAGTTTTGGTTAAGAGTCTACCACGTTCGCTTTTCAGCGCACCTGCACTTCCTTCTTCATTTTTCATCCTCATTTTCACCCTTCGCACTTTTTTTTTGAGGGTATGTTCTTCTTTTACTGCATTCTTCACAGTTTTGCAGTTTTAGTGAAGGGTTCCCCACCTTTGCACATTCTTGTACACTCTTTTCAGCTCACCTGCACATTTTTGTCAGGGTGCAAGGTACGACTAAGTAAGACCCTCACAACAGATAGGACAACTGTCATAAGGATGCGGGCGATGGTAGCAGCCCTCCCGTTGATCTACAGGACGAAACCCATTCAGGTAAGCAACTTCGTCACAGCAGGAGCCAGGGCGGCTAGCATTAACCATACCTCTGAAGCATGCACGACAGAGGGCTAGCATTAACCATATCTCTGAAGCATGCACGACAGAGGGCATGCCGGTTGCAGGCCACGACGATTGTGGGGTGCTCACCATCATAGTTAAGCGCACATTCGCTATAGCGCCCGCAGGCACAGATGGGACATACTGCATCTGGATGTAGAGGATGTTCACAATCCGGATACAGGTGGCATCCCTGCCGACAGCGCGCCCGAAAAATTATACGGTTAGATAGATAGATAGATAGATAGATAGATAGAGAGAGAGAGAGAGAGAGAGAGAGAGAGAGAGAGAGAGAGAGAGAGAGAGAGAGAGAGAGAGAG